ATCCTGCTGTATGTGTGCTATTGCCCAGGAGATGTGGATCAGGGCAAAGATCTTCACTCCCCAGCTCCTCTACAGCCCAGTGTCTGAGATCCAGACCCATGGGGGTAACTGGTGCTGCTGGAATCTGTTACGGAGGTCACTGTGGGAGATGGGACTGCTCAGCAAGAAGTCCCCAGCTCCCATTTTAGACAAGTTTTTTTCTCTTTTAGAGAAACAAATGTTATACATTTTCAAGACACATTACAAATAGGAAGGTAACAGTTCTCCAGGGCTTCTACCTAGAAAGGATTCAAGGTAAGAGCTTGAAGCTTGGAGGAAAGAAGGAAAAACACTTCTGGGCTTGGGATGTTTTTTTCTTTTTCTTTTTTCTTTTTTTTTTTGAAAACATTGTGATTTAACAACTATGGCCTTGTTGAACATAAATAAATAAATAATGTGGAGAACTGGGACGCACTAAGCTCAGTGATTGCATAAATATTCAAGCTGCAAGAGAAATATAAGATTTCAAAGGTGCAAACCTAATTATGGAGTTGTTATCTATCCCCCCATAGTAATTCAAACATAAAGAACATTTCCCTGTCAGCTAGTGAAGGACCCTAGTACAAATCTGAGATGCCAAACCTGGAAAATGTGACATCCTGCCACATATCAGCAGGGGCTCACTCACATCACCTGCTCTGCTTGCACTGAAGCTGGAGGCACAGGCCCATGCTGGGCTGGGACTTGGGTGGGAGCCCGAGCAGCCAGCATGGGCTGAGGGGTGCTGAGGCCTCCCTGGCCTCCATGAGCAAGGGCAAAAGTACTCAAAGTATGGACAGTTCTCCTCCACCCTGATCAAGTCCCTGCAGCCAGTCCAGGAGTGAAATCCTGAGCATCTCTGTGCATCTGCCCCATGCTGCCATGGAGGATGGTGACTCCAGTGAGCTGGAGATCTCAAGGTGCTTCATGGCCTCTTTTGCACCCCAATCCCTTCAACCTCAATGTTTCCCACCCTGGATCTGCAGGAAAGCTGGTATTTATCAATGCAGGGGCTGGGGATATGGGCTGGAGCTGCCGCAGGACCCTGAGAGCAGGGAAATGAGAAAGAAAGTGGACTCAGGCTCGGTTTGAGAAAGAAAGTGGACTCAGGCTCGGTTTGCTGTTTTGCAGATTACCACACAGATCCCTTGGACATCCCTTTTTGTTGACCATGGTCTCCAGAGGCACTGCAGGCCAGCACTGTTCCCAGTTATCTTCCTTTGTATCTTCTTTTCCCCCATTCTACAATTGTTCAGGGTATAGCCCACATAAAACCACAGCACAGGAGGAATGGTAGTAGAAAAATGCCATGATACGCATTGTCTCTTCAAATCCTCAGTGACAACCAGTGCTGAATGAAACACCTGCTTACCAGCCCCTCTTGTCCCTGTGCAGCTCGGGGACCTGTCCCTTGCTGCCCCTCACTTGGCTGCCTGCTCCCAGGGCAGCAGTCTGGGGACCCTCAGCTCTGGGTGCTGGTAAACCAGGGTGAAGCAGATGACTAAGCTGACCATGAGCCCTTCTTCTGCTGGCTTTCTGCTGTTAGTGATGAGCAGAAACATCTCCCAGAGGACCACTGAGCTGGCTCTCCTGGCCTCAATGGGGACGTATGGAAAAATGTGCCTTTAACATTACGGGACTGAATTTTTAATTGACCTTTTAGACTTCCCACTGTAGCTTGGCTTAAAATGTTGGTTTGCTTTGTCTCACTGTTCAAGTTTAACATTTTTTCAACACCAAAATGTGATTTCTGCAGTATTATCTCCACAGCCAAAACAGGAAAAAAATGGGTCAAAACCCTCTGTGCACCTCAGGAGACCTGTGCAGGGGCAGGGAAATCAGTGCCCCAGCCTTGCTGAGCACACTGCTGCATGTGCTGCTGCTGGAGGGAAGGTCTCAGTTGCACCCCAGGGAAGGAGGTGATGTGCAGCTGGGACACCGGCTGCTGCTGGGCTTGCTTGGGGCCACCTTTGTCACCTCGTCTTGGGATGCACAAGCTCCACGTGCCATAAGGCGAGCACCTGGGAGAGGGATGCTGTGTCCCAGCACACTTGGGGTGGGGGATGCTGGCCCAGCACAGGGCAGCCTGCACAGCAGAGCCCTGCAGGAGCAGTGCCTGCCAGCTGCAGCACAGGCTTTGATAGAGCAATTAGCGCGGAGAGGGGATGGAAAAGGCTTTTTGGGGTGCAGGTTCCCCTGCCAGAGTCCCGTACTGGGCGCAGCACTCCCGAGATGCCGGGTTAGATTTCAGCTGCTTCTGCACAAGGATGCAGCGGCCCCATCCCAGCAGGCCGACAGCACCACCTACTGCTGCAGGGACCGAGCTCGCAGCCCCGCTCGTCCCCAGAGCTGGGATGTCGTCCTCCGCCCGGCCGGACCCTGCAGCAGCCCCCGGGAAAGTGGCCTCCGATTGCGGGCAGAGCTGTGGGGACAGAGGTGGGGCACCCCACCTGTCACCCCACATGGGACACACGAAGAGCATAGCTCCTTTCCTTTCCTTTCCTTTCCTTTCCTTTCCTTTCCTTTCCTTTCCTTCCTTTCCTTTCCTTTCCTTCCTTTCCTTTCCTTTCCTTTCCTTTCCTTTCCTTTCCTTTCCTTTCCTTTCCTTTCCTTTCCTTTCCTTTCCTTTCCTTTCCTTTCCTTTCCTTTCCTTTCCTTTCCTTTCCTTTCCTTTCCTTTCCTTTCCTTTCCTTTCCTTTTCCTTTCCTTTCCTTCCTTCCTTTCCTTTCCTTTCCTTTCCTCTATTTAACCCAAATAAAGTGACTTTTGCATATTATCTGTGGTAGAGCTGGGACATGAGCAGCGATGTGCCTTCCTGCCTGTCTCCCCATCGGTCTCACAGACCCCAGGGTTGGCCTCCTGGAGCCCAGGAGCACTGCTCAGGGGCAGCTGCTGCTTTGAGGAAGGGGTGTCTGGGGACAGGTGCCCCAGTGCCCATGCACATCCCTGAGGCTAAGGCAGGAGGTTTGGTCTCCTGCCACTCACATCCCACTCTGGTGCTGTAGAAGATGAAGAGACCTGTTTTGTTCCCTATTTGCTTCCACTGTCTCCTTTGAATGCCTGCAGCTGGTTGTCCTGGATCCTTGTGAGCCCCCAGGGATGTCTGTCCTGGGCCTGAGACCCCCGCTAGGATCCCATGGGACCGATCTTGTTCACTGCTCGGGTGAACGTCCCTACCCACTTTTTGGGCAGTGAGTTTGTGCCATGGAGGCCTCAGGAGCCCAGGACACCTTTGCCTACAGAAAGAAATCACATCAGCATGGGAAGGAGCAGAGGAGAGTGGTGGGTGCCGAGGGGCAGGAGTCTCTCCATCACCATGTCCATGGTGGTGAACGTGGCCTCTGAGGACAGGAGGAGCCCCCTCAGGCTGGGTGCAGAGCTCCCCATCAAGCAGCAGCGCCAGCAGCAGAACAAGAGGCACGACCCGGCTGCCAGCACCACGGCTGGAAGGTGAAAGTCAAACCATGGGCTGGGAAGGGCTGGCTGCGACACCCGGTCAGGCTACATGGGGAGCTCCGTGCCGTGCCCATCCTGCCCTCCGTGACCCAGGGGTTCTGCTGCCTCTCTGCTGGGCTGTCTGGGGACAGGGGGACCTGCCCCGTCCAGGAGCCGAGGCGGTGCCCGTGCTTTGCTCCGCTGTCACCGCGGGGTGGTGGCACCTGGGGAGCCGCATCCCGACACCCCCGGGCCCTGTCGCCCCCTCCTGTGCACCCGTCCACGCGTGGGGGCGGCCCCGCCGGGCTTGGGGACAGCTCGGGGACAGCTCGGGGACAGCCGGGTCCGTGTCCCCGCGGCCCCACGAGGGGGCAGCAGGTGCCCACGGAGGAGGCTGCAACCGCTGCGGCTGCAGGAGGGACGAACGTGGGGGACACCCCGCTTCACCCAGCCCTCGGGACACAGCCCGGCCCTAAGGGACACCCCCGTGCCTTGGGCAGGCCGCCTTGGCACGGTTCTCAGGTCAGCACGCCATGGAGCCACCCGGGGCTTGGCCCCTGTGCTCCGCTAACACAGCCGCCTCCCATCAGGAGGTGAGGGCAGCCCTAGCAGAGCACAGAGCAGGATGCTGAGCTCGTCCCACCTCTGTCCCTCTCTGCTTCTGCCCCTGCCCCAGCCTGTGAGACCACTGCTCCTTGTTGAAAGGGTCCAAATCTGGCCCATGCCCAACTACCCCTGGCCTAAAGGTCTGCTCAGAGCCAAGCTGAGGGACCTCATCTTGACACAAACTCACTGATTTTCCTGCCAGAGCTCCCCACTGCACCACTGAGTGCTTTTCTTCTGCCTGCAGCAACAAATCCCTCTGGACCCTCCTCCTCCCCTTCCAGCCCCATGCACTGCCCTGGGGTGCTCTGCACCCATCCCACTGCCTGCACAAGGTCTGTCCGTCCCCATATCTCCATGACTGCCCACCCATCCCACCCTCCTGCTCCCTGCCCGTGACCCTAGTGCAGCTCTGGGTGCCTGCTACTGCACTGAGCCAACGAGCAGCCCTTGCGGTTGGCCACCGATGCTGGAGCCCAGTCCTGGCCACCAGCAACGTCTGTGTCAGTCTGGAACCCTTTCCTGCAGCAAGTACGCTGATGTAAGAGGGTTTTAAAGTGTGGTTGTGGATTTGCGTTCCATCCCCCTCCTTGTAATGGGCTCAGGATGTTAATTTATAGCTAGCTGCTAATATCTTGCATCCATCAAATGTCTCAACAAGAGCCCCAAAGTGTTTTGCAGACATTGGCTACCATCCCCTGCATGGGAATTGCAGAAATCACAGCCTGGAGAGGCTTCAGGGACTTGCTGATGACCAAAGTCCAAGTCAGCAAGCCCCAGCCCTGTTCCAGCCCCCAACCCACCCTGCTCCTCCTGCCACACCGCTGGATTGCCTCCAAGCCACGGCCTTTCATCAAGTCCTGCCAGGCAAGCTGCCGAGAAGTCAGCCTCACAGGAGCCCAAGGCAGGGAAACAAAGAGTTAAACGATATCCTGATGGGCTGGTGAGCTCATCAGAGCTGGGATATGCTCATTACACTCAACAGAGCCTGGTAGACAACATCCGGAGGGATGCGGGGCTGGAAGTGAGCATGGGTTAGGAGAGGAGGACCTTCAGCTGCAGCCTGTCCTGCTGCCGGTGGGGTGGGCAGCCACGTAAGTAGGGTGGATTTCCATGAGTTTGGTTCTGGGGGTGGTGGAAAGGGCGAGGGGATGCAGCTCAGTGAGGCTGGGGTCATCTTCTTGCTGAGTCCCGAAAAAGGGCTTGCAGATGCTCTTCACTCATCGAGATCCTGAGCATGTTGGTGGAACTGTCCAAACCCTGGGTGATGCTGAAAAGCTGCTCCCAAGGGATGCTGGAGGCTGGGCCCAACCCAGCTCCACTACACCAGCAAATGGACGCTGGCTCCGGCTCAGTTTACATCCAGAATGCGGCGGGGCTTGTAGGCGGCGTGCAGTCCCCCTGACACCTCGCCTTATTTCTCCAGCCCTGGTCGCAGAGCAGAGCTCGCCTCTCCACAGGGACGCTGCCCACGTGGCCAGCACCAGCCCCAGTGGGGTCGTGGGGATGGCAGGAGAGAGGATGGGGCCCTAGCACTGTGCTTTGTGCTGACACAGCTCCTTCCTCTCCCAGCGCAGAGCCGGCTCAGCCCAGCAGGATCCGTCCCTCGTTACCGCTCCCTGCAAGCCCCCTGGCAGCTGGGTTCCCACCCGCGCACCCGGGGGATGCTTGGTGCAGCCGGCTGGGACCAGCGAGGCACAACATGGTAAGTGGCGCTCGGTCCCTCCCCTGGGGTCCCTGTCCCACCCAACACCCTCCTATGCCCCCTGCTGAGTGCTCCTCTAGGATCCCCGGCCATGGGGGTCCTGCAGTGCCCACCTTTCTCATTTTTAGGGGAACTTGGGCATGCTGGCACACTGGATATGCACCTTGCTCCGATTAACTCTGGACCTGGTTGATAGCCAGGATTTTGTTGGATTTCCAACAAAACTTAGCAGGTGGTTTGCAAAATCCTTAACTTATTCCCCAGTGATTTGTGTGGCAAAAGTCTGGGCAGAGCCCCCTCGTGCTGCAGCCCCTCAGCACTGCCCTGTGCACAGCAGCATCAGCCCCAGCCCCAGGCAGTGCCACGCTTACCCACACCACTGGTGCTCCCGGTTCTTGTTTAGCCTTAGGATGGAGATCAGCTCCACCTGGGGGTGCCAAGAGGGCTGCCCAAGAGGACAGGCCAGGTGGAGGTGGGCACCAAGCCCTGGGTGAGGTGGTTCCTCTCCCAGCTGGGGAAGCTGTGGTCTCGGCTGTGCAAAGTGGCAGAAACTGGGTGCTGCAAGGAGATAAGGGGAGCATATAGGAAGTTCCCAGAGAATCACAGCTGCCTCCCCATAGAAAAAGGCTGAAGATTTGGAGAAGTAAATCTAGCCCTTGTATTGCCAGGAGGGCACAAGCCCATGGACAGGAGCAGGGCCTTCAGACCGGGCTGTGTCACCAGGTGTAGCACAACTCTGGCCACATCTGTAGGTTGTTTGGGGCCCCAGAGCCTGGGGACATATACACTGGTCTCAGACTTTGAGGCATCTAAAGGATTTCTGGTCCCCATGGCTGCAGACAGACTTGACTGCTGCCCCTGTAAGAACACAGACTAAATTAAATCACCTGTAATGAGATGGTTCATCAAGGCTCTTGAGGATCCATCTCAGCATTTCATGAGGCTACCTCCTGCCTCTGGCTGTGTGAGGCTGGTGACGCTTGTTTGAGAAGGACAGATTGCCCGTGAGCCCAGCATGCTCCTCCTGAGTGTATCGGTGGTCCCCAGGCAGGTCCCTGTGTAGCCCCTCGCTTTGGCCACCCAGATGAGAGCTGTTGCTGCTGGGCGCTGGTGGGTGTGGAGGCTCCTCCACAGATGGGTGGGCAGAGAAATGGGGGACAGAGGGTTGGGGTGCCCTGCTCAGTCACAGGCTCCCTCCCCAGCACCACCATGAGATGCCCACAAAGTCCAGGATGTGCCCAAGCATCTCTTGCGCTGCTTTGGCACTTGGGTCCTTAGCACCACCAGCAGGTGTGCTCCATCTGAGCCCCCTGCTCAAACACCGAGCATCTGCATACAAAGCACTGGAAAAGCAAAAGGAGGAGAAACAACAACACACGAGGCTTGTCCTTTAGCTCCACCACCAACAGTTTCCCAAGGCATTCAGAGGCAGCAGCAGCAGCAGCCCAGACATGATATCTGATACGTGCTCTGGAGGCATTTTCAAGCCAGCAACTGGTCATCTGCTGACGCTCTCCTTACAACAATAATTATTAAAAATGTGGGGGAAACCTGATAGCACTTATGCTGCCTGGCTGCTCAGTACAAGCATTGCATCTTCAAGTATGAGCACATCTGTGATGAATTAAGGATGGAGCATGGGCAGAGCAGGAGCTGAAATCACATTAGCTCTCCCAAGAGCTGCAGACACATGCAGAGCTGGTAACAAATTCTCAGCTACTTGCAGGGAGTGAAATCCTTCCCTAGCTAACAGGGGAGAAATATGTAGAGCCTCATGCAAAAACACAAACAGAAATATGAAGCAGAGTACCTAAATTACAGGAAAAAGACCAAATGTGGAGAAAAGTGTGATCAAAAAATCACTCTCTGCTGGGAAGTGCTAGAAAAACAATCAGCATCTGGGAATTGTGGTGAGAGGAATGGTTACACCAGAAAATAAAAGAGAAAAATCCACTCTAGTGCAAATGCAAGACAGGAAGGAAGAAGACGGTTTCTGCAGGAGTCCACATTAACACTCCACAAAGCGGAGATGAAGGCTCTCTGCAGAGCTCAGTGTAGAGGCAGAGGCAGGGCAGCAGCAGAGAGGCAGGCAGGGAGCAGGGTGCCTGGAAGCTGGGCAGGGCGGGCTGCATTAGGCTGCTGAGATAAGAGACGTGGGCACCGCTCCAGGGGAGAGAGCAAATTTCCAGCTACAAAGCCAAATTAAAATTGTACTGTGCCTTGATCATAAAACCTCTCCACGATAGATGCTAGAAGGAGAAAGACAAGAAATGCCATGGCTGCCTAGGACAAAATTTCAAGAAGATCCTTGCCAAAGCTCAGCTTTGGATTAGAAGAACAAGGAGGCTGGTGCACAGGCTGTGCACTCCAGCCGAACAGTTACATAGAACCTGGGCACATCTCTGCAGAACTGCAGCTGGGGATGTTTTCAGAGGGCTGGGCTGACTTCGGGGCATGTTTTGGTCCATGCAGAACCTGCCTTGCTTTGTCCCCAGGACACTGCAGGAAGATGTGCCCCATTGCTCTCAGTACTTTTGTCTTGGGACCCTGTGGCAGCTTAGACCCTCAGTTTATAAGAGTGTGAAGTGAGCTGCATCACCGAAGCTGACCGGAGCATGTTGTATCTAACATGGTAGTAACTATCAAAATGACATCTATGATCAGGCTTTGCACTGGCTTGCCGAGAGGATCAGCAGCTCAAAAGGAGGAGAAATGGGGAAACCAGGGCTTGCTACTGTGGCCAGACTCATCAAGTGGTTGATCCCCCCTGATGGAGCGCTGTAGCTGATGTATCGGGGGGTGTGTCTTCTGCTGTGCCCCTGCGTCTCCTGATTCAACAGAGAAGGGGGAAAGCTGCAGATGGGAGGGGCGCAAACCGTGCCCACTATGATTGTCTTTTTTGTTTGTTTGTTTGTTGTCCCAAGTTAAGCAAACCTGAAATAGCACAAAATGCATCGGTACCACCAGGGCTACATTTCTGCAGCAGTGCTCCAGTGCTTTGGCAGGCAGATAAACTGACAAATTGCATCAGAATAAACCAGTAACCTGGGCAGGAGACTTGGGTGAAAGAACAAGGGAGGTGCTGGCTGGCACCCAGCCACCGGTATCCCTAGGTGGACACTGGGCCCAGCATGGCCCAGGTAGGGATGGGTTTCCTTATGACTGTGCCTCTGGAGCAGCTTTGCAGCTCCATGAAGCTGCAGTGACGCGGTGCAAGCCCTGGCATTGATCAGCAGCAGTGGGAAATGAGCTGGAGGCACCAGGCTCTGTGCTCATCTCCTCTACACCTCGCTGCAGCCAAAGTGGGACGCAAACCCAGGCCAGCATCATCCATGTTGTGCATCCTCTTGTGAGCCGTATGACAGGCAGGAAAACACCCAGCCTGCTGTGCCAAACAAGGGCCTGAGCAGGTCTGGATCAGTGCCAGGCTCAAAGCTCGCATGGTGCCCAGGAAGAGCTGAGCTTGGTAGGTTCATCCCTGCAGGGCCGCTCAGCAGTGTGCAGGGTCCTGCAGGCTGGTGAGCACTCCCCAGCAAGCTTCATGCCCTGTTTTCCTCTGCAGAGCCCCGAGGAAATGGTGGTTAACATAATGCACACTGTTTCCAATTTACCATAATGGTTTCTGTGTGCTAAAGGCATGCTGTTTCTGGGAAAATGCATTTCCTCCTCGAGTAGGTGAAAAAACAATGCAGAGCATTGCCCCTGAGGCAGCCACATCTCTGACCCCACCACCGCAAAGCGCAGCATTTCAGTGCAACTTGTGAGCCCTCACAGAGCTGGGAAAATATGTACAGTGTGATGGGAGCTTCTCTGCCTCCCTTCCTGGGCACTTAGCAAGGAAATGCTCCTGTGCCAAGGGCACAGGGCTGACAGGTCCAAGCTGGATGTGGCATTGAGGAACAGCCAACTCCAGGGGTCTAAAGCAGGTGCTCAGCCCCCAGGAAGGTGCCTCGAGGTCTCCGCTGCGTGGTCCTGATGTGGTGAATCCCTGCCTCAGTTTCTCCACATGCAAGGGGAAGAGAGCATGGATTCACACAGTGGTTTTGGTTGGAAGGGATTTTAAAAATCATCTAATTCCAACCCCCTGCCATGTGCAGGGACACCTCCAAACAGACCAGGTTGCCCAAAGCCCCATCCAATCTGAATTTGAACACCTCCAGGGATCTGGCATCCACAGCTTCTCTAGGCAACCTGTGCCACAGCACATTTTTCATGGTGAAAAATTTCTTCTCTATTCCCTGTCCAAATCTGTCCTCTTTCAAGTTTAGAATTATTTCCCCTGGTCCTGCCACCACAGGCCCTGGTAAAAAGCCTTTCTCTGTCTTTTCTATAAGTCCACTTTATAAGTTGAAAAGGTGCAATAAGGTCTCCCCAGAGCCTCCTCTCCTCCAGATGACCATGCCACAAGGTGCTGAGGTGTAAGTGGGGATCTGGGAGGGAAAACAGCTCCAGGGATACCATCATCCCACCACTGCGTCTCTGGGAGCTGGAAGCTGGGGAATAGAGACATATCTGTCCTGGGGCCCATGGGTGGGCAATAGGACTCCTGCAGGTACCCTCAGTCCTGCCTACCTGCAGGACTCAGTTGCTTATTCCTCATTTCACTGCTCAGATAGGCATGGTGCTCTCCTCCCCCTGTATCAACTCCCAAATTGTTCTCCACCTTCATTTGACTTGGCCTGAGGCCATGCTAGTGATTAATGACTTGATGGAAAGCACTCAGTCCACCCTCCAGCAGTAGTCCTGCACTGCTCTTTCTTCTTTCCATCTCAGGTCTCCTCCTCAGACCCTGTCACCATGGAAAACCCCCCCAAGAGCCCTGATGGGAGTGAGAAGTCCCCTCCGTCCAAGGAGCTGCTGACCAGCAACACGGCCAGCACCCTCTGCATCAGCTCCCGGAGCGAGTCTGTCTGGACCAGCGCGTCCCGGAGCAAGTGGGAAATATACCACAAGCCCGTCATTGTCGTGTCTGTCGGAGCAGCCGTCTTCCTCTTCGGGATGGTCATCACCAGCCTGTCTTGCATCCAAATCAAGAACAAAAATGTTTACAAAATGTGTGGCCCGGCTTTTCTGTCCATGGGACTGATGCTCCTCGTTTGTGGCCTAGTCTGGATCCCCATCATCCGGAAGAAGCAGAAGCAGAGACAGAAGTCACAGTTCCTGCAGAGCCTCAAGTCCTTCTTCTTCAACCGCTGAGGACAGCCCATGGCCTTCCCAGGAAGGCTCCCTCCCCTCCACCCTCCTCTGCTGATTAGCCATAACAAGAAACATGCTTTTGTACCCTCCTATAGGAATTTACCCCAGACAGTCTCTTCCCTACAGGCGGAACACACTGTACCGGTGCCCGGTGTGTAAGCAAACTTTGCCTTTCACCCAAGGAATCCCAGAAAGAAGAGAGTGGGACGTGGCGGCCTAGCCCAGCATGGCAGGTCAGAGCACTCTGTGTCCTGGAGCCGGCCAGCCCCGCCACGGGGGTGAAGCCCAGTGTGAGCACTGCTGCCTGCAGTCAGCACGCCACACCTACACAGCGGCGGGCCCAAGGCCGCTCACCCAGAGCCATGGAGAGGGGCAACGGGACAAGGCAGTGCCACAACACTTTGTATCAGAGGAGGCCACCGAAATGGACAACGCACGTCACCAGAGCAGAGCAGATGTGATGTTCATGGCCTACAGTTCCCACATGTGGATCTATTATGACAGCTGGCCAAGACACGGCTGTTAACTAGAGCTCACTTCTGGCTCAGGGTGTGGTGTTCACACGTATTTATTCCTCTACAGGGTCAAGGTGAGGAGCGGCACCACTAGCAGAATGTTTTAGCTCCCCTTGGCAGAAGGTGTTTAAGCAAGGCTGTTCCCCAGGCCTGAAGGGACTAAGTTGTTTTGCAGCTTCTCTCCGGTTGTGCTGATGCTCTCTGCCAGAGCCACCCAAAAACTGAGCTTTGGCTCTTCCATGAGCCCAGAACTGGACTACAAGCAAGCAAAAGTGTTCCTTTTCTCCACCACTTTGTATTTATGTCTTAATAAATGTGTGCTCTGAGGCAATTCACCAAGGAAAGCAAGGATCTGCATGGTTTTTGCTTTAATTTCATATTTTCAGCAGGCCTTAGAAGAGAAATTTGAAATGCTAATTCTCAGTCTGAAGAACTGGTCTCTGTCTGGACAGCAAAACCTGGTTTGACATAAATGGGTCCACAACATCAACCAGCTCCTAACTCTGGGCAGGAATCTGCTTTTCTTACCAAAGAGCTGATCCATCCTGGATCCCACAGCAGCCCCTATCAGGTCTGCACCTCTGGCCAGGCCCCCAGCTCAGCAAGCTAAGGCTCGGGTGCCCTGACTCCCATGGTGGGGTGAGGACTCAGCACCCCCAAGGGTGGGCAGGACATGGCTTGGTGTTGACCAGAAGCAGAAGAGGAACACAGATGAGGAGACCCCACCGAGGTGCTCTTTGCAGTCTGCATCTCCACCGTAAAGCTGAGGCAGCCAGGTTGCTCTTCTAACGCCATGGGAGGCAGAAAAGCCAGCAGGGGTGCTCCAAGAGAATTTGCAATGTATTTGACAGATAGCCAGGGCCTGATAATCTCCAGTAACTGCTAATGATAAGCTTTTGTAAGCCTGTAGGTTTCTGTAACTCTGTGCCACACTTCCACCAACAGTTCCCAGGGAATGCTAGAGAAGAGTACCACAAATAGGGCATGCAGACAGAGACCCTTCTCCAGGTTTGTCTCCACCTTCCAGCAGCTTAGAGCCAAGGCAGAGTTTTCTCCAGACCACTGTTTAGCACTAATAGATCCAACATGCTCTACTCCTCCTGTTTTGACCGCTTCTTCAGATCAGTTTGGACTTCCAGGATGTGCGACATCCTGAAGCTACGGGCTGTCACAATCCCTCCAAATACTCTAATCTGGGGAGCAAAGTTCAGCTGGTGCCACCGTCCACCTCCACAGAGCGTTCCCACCCTCTCCCATGGATCAGGCCTGTTAAAGCAGTGGGAGATTCCTGGCAATGAAGTTTGAGAAGGACAGTGTGGAAAAGAGGTACAGCAAACTCTACAATATTTTGTATTGAATTAGGATAGTGGGTATCAACGCAGCCTGAACAACTTTCCATCATCTCAGATGTTGCATCCAGCAGAGTTGAAGCAAGGCAGAGGCGATAGCCGGAGATGCTGGAAGCTCTGGATAACATCAAGACATGCAGCAAAAGGGGGGAGGATAACAGATCCTGCTGCTGCAGGCCGTCAGGAGCCCAGACGGTCAGATAAAAGGGAGATGTGCTTAGTGCAGTCAGGGACCATGAAGCTGGAGCTGTGGGAACTGTGCTCAGGGCCCAGATCTGACTCACCATGTGGAATTATTTAACCTCCTAGCCACCTCTGGCTGAACTCCCTTAAAACAGTGCCACTTCAGCATTTCTGCCTGCAGATATAGCCTGGGGGCACCCAGGGCCCAAAGCATTCAAGTGACCTGATTGAGCTAGGAGGTTGGGCTCCCTCCAGGATGTGATCCAGGTGGGCCAGTGCCTGGAGAGCCCCAAGGCCTGCAAGGGGACAGCGCAGAGGCAGCTGGCTGCTGGCACAGCTGGGTGATGGGTACTCGAGGAACACACGTCCTTTCACCCAAGACTGCATTTCCTGGGCGGTGCAGATGCGTCCATCCCCAGCCGGCTGGTGCCAGGTTGTGAATGGGGTGTTGGAGGTGCGTGGTCTGGCACCGGACCCAGCAAACCTCCGTTCATTCTTCAGCCATTCATCCCACTGTGTGGTGCGCTGCCTATTTTTTTCAGCCCTGGCTTGGCACAAGGCTGAAGTCTCTATTGATTCAGCTGTAGTGGGCAGAAGCAGCTCACCTCAAGCTGCTGCTCGAGGATTAGCAGCAGTTGGAAAAAGAGACAAATGGCAGGGCTTGCAAGGAAGAAATCACAGAGCAACCCAAGGGACATCCCATTCCCCGTCTGGCTCCAGCCTGCAGGCCTGGTGCCGGGCACTGCCCAGGCTGGAGGAGGCACCTGGGATGGCCTCAGCTGCAAATAGCTCTGGGCAGCCAGAGGCTGTTTGGCCAGGCTTGCTGCCCGAAGGGATGTGAAAGGAGGACTCAAAGCACCAAACAGCGCAGGCAGATGGAGCAGGGGGTCCTGTCCTCCGTGTCTCACAACCAAGGAGGTCAGTGAAGTGTTAATAAGAAGTCACTGAGATCACAAATGTAATGGGATTCCAAGCTGGCCATTTATAACATGAATATTCAATTTAATTAAAGCAAAATATCCCAAGGGACTTTCACCTTGCTGCTGTGGTCTCATGTGTGGTGTTTCATAGATAATGGTGGAGGGAAAGCTGCAGTATCAGGTGTGTGATGGGGGATGCTGTGGCCTTGAGGGGCCACCAGGTAGGGACAGCGGGGGGGAGGATGAGGGAACTGGAGCTGCAGGTTTGCTCGGTGCTGGCCACATGCCCTGGGTGAGGGTTTCAGGTCTGTGGGTTTGCTTGGCAGACACCTCTCGTGAGGTGTGAGAGGGGAGCGTGGGTGGCACGGGAAGGAGACAGCAAGAGGACGGAGCCTGCCCAGGTGAGGATGAAGGCAACAGCCCAGGGATCAGCAAAGCTCCTAAGGAGGGGGCATTCATCCCATGCGTCCTAGCAATTGCTACCCAGATCTGTAGGGGGTCACTGGGGTAAAAGGGACAAAATATTAATTGAAGGGAGAGCTAAATTAACAACTCGAAGCTCAAGATGCAGACGGAAGTCCAGCTCTCCTCTTTGCTGCATGAAGTATAAGTGCCTGATTGCTCCTGGGAGGCTGGGTAGATTTGTGCACACAATGCAAACTGCTCCCAGCCCTGGAAATGCATGGTCATCTTCAGATGAGAGAGGCTGGGTGGGAGCGACTTAAGGAGAAGGAGGTAGCGGGCAAGGCTGGAGGCTACTCTCGAGGGTTTTGTTAGGAGCTGACACGCAATGCTGTGTCACCCTGCTGTGGCCCAGCCAAACCCCACAGGGCTTCCACAAAGTGAAATCCTGCCTCTGTGCTGTGGGACCAGAGAACTTCCATGTCCCACTGCCATGCATGGGAGGCTGCGGAACCAGGAGGTGTCTGCGGGATTCAAAGCAGGGTTATGGACAGCAGATCCCACAAGACAGTAAATACAAAGGGACGTCCCTCTAGCATCATGGCCATCCCCAAATAGCATCTCCTGACACTGCTGGAGACAGCACTGGGCTGGAAGGACCCTGGACCTGACAACAGGGCAGTTTGTTCCTTTGGGTCGTTCCCATGCACCCCCAAAGTGGGTCTCACTGCTCCCCACTATTCCTCTCCACCCCCGCTGAAGCCTGTTTGAATCCTGCTGGGATGCTTTGGATCAGACCAAAAAGCCCCACCATGTTTTAAGGGAAATATCAGCTTAGCTACAAATGCAATTATGCCCATCTCTTACTATAGCTAGATTTTCTGCAATCTGCTTCCCCTGTTCTATAAAAAAAAAAAAAAAAAAGAAATCCACAGCAAAATTCATCATGTCTGCCAAGCAGGTCAAGGAGGAAGTGGTTCTCCTGCACCTCCAACACCTCCAAGCTCCCAGCCCCTTCATAGCTGGGCCGGCTGATGCCTCAATGTGCTACTGGCCTCCATGGGCATCCTGAGGTGTTCCTGCTGCTTCCTCACAGCCCGGGGTGCAGGCAGCATCCTGCTGGGTGAGCTGCAACCTCCCAGAAAACTCCCGCTGGCAATAAAATCCCAGATCTCGGCACTTGGAGCATGACAGCTGTCACACCAGCTTGGACACACGTGCTGCGAGAGGTGGATGTGAGCCAGCCCAGCCTGGCTGCGCCCCTTCGGTCTGCAGAGGGAGGTGAGAGGAGGCTGAGGCCAGGGGAGGCTGAGGCCAGGGGAGGCTGACGCAGTTGGAGGCTGACGCAAACAGAGGCAATAAATCTGGTCATCGGCCTGATGCAGCCGTGACCGAGGGTTTTCAGGTCCTGCAGCCACATTGGGCTGTGAGTTTCCCGGAGTCTCTGGTGTTGCAGCAACATAAGCAGTGCTGTTTTTTCTTTTTTCCTTTTTTTTTTTTTTTTTTAACTTTCTTTAACTCAGCTGGGGTAGCAGGTTGCAGCCAGCGCCACAGGGCAGCCACCCCTGCCACCAGGCCAGGGGCCGCAGGCAGCGAAAAGCCGGGCCTGGAAGTGCCCCCCCAGCCTCGTGTGCTGGGGCTGAGAGCTGGGGACTGGGGCTGGGACTGGGGCTGGGGCTGGTCCGTGCCAAGTCAAGTCCGTGCCTGTGCTGTGCCGTGTGATGCCGTGCTGGTTCTTGTCGGTCAATGCTGTGCTGTGCCGTGCCACTCCAGTAACGTGCCTGTGCCAGTCGGAGCCATGCCGGGCAGAGCCGTGCCAGTCCGTGTCACACCAAGGCACCTTGCCTGGGGAGGGCCTGGAAGAGCAAGGCAGCAGAGACCAAGAAATTCGGCTCTTCCACCCATGCCTCGTCCCAGGAGGTGGCGATGCCCTGGTGATGCCGATCTCTGCAGGACCTGTATGGGTTGAAGCCAAACCCTTGGGGCGTTTCTACAGCTGGCAGATGTGGTGTCATCCTCTAGGGACCCACCTGTGACAAGGGATGGAAGCTGCTGGGGGTGGGAGGATCAATATCAAAATGTTTCCTGAAGAAACTGGGATGTGCTGCTTGGGGAGACCCTGGGTCAGGGCTATGGGGCTACAGCAAGGGTGCTGCGGGGGCTGTGGTGCAGCTCTTCAGCATCGGCTGGGACACGGCTCTGCCTCCCTGCCATGAAGATAGCCTGGCTCATGCCCAAGCTTTTCCCTCCTCTGCCCTTCTTAATCCTGCACAGAATTAACCCACAGCACTGATTCTGGGCAAAGCCCTTGGAGGTCTCAGCTGGGTTTGGCTCCTGCCCACCCTGCTGCCTGTCTTCTCTGGGTGGAAATAATTATTTTATTAGAAAGTGCTTTCATTTCCTTTGCCCTCAACAAGTGTAAAGCTGAGCACAGGTGTGGGAAGGGCAAACTGATTGCAGAGCTGAAACCAGCTCAGAAAGTCCCTGCTGGATGTAGGCAGAAACAGTGATGGTCAGGCCCCCAAGGCTGTCCCTGGCAAAGGCATAAAATGGGGAGGGAGATGGGAACGTGCAGGCTTAGGTCTTGCATGATGGCAGCACTGAGCTGGGGATTTAAAGGATGGGATGGACAAGAAGGATGCTATCTGCAGTCAGTTTGGCCGTGCTCCTGGGATGGTCAGACGGGGCTGAGTTCTGTGTCCACAGGTTCCCTGCCTTGCTCGGGTGTGTGAAGACTCGGAGGTACCCTGGCTTGAGGGACCGAGGCACTGGAGCAGAGACCGGCCCTGAAGGCTCCCAGTTTAACTCCATGCTGGGAAGAGCTGCAGCCCCTCCCTGTGCCATGTGCCACCAACCTTCCCTGGCTTCACCTGGTGCTCACAGCACAGGTGGGAGCTTGGTTACCCCTGTGCTTGCTGGGAGAGGGCTCCAGACCCTTTCTGGTTCTTCTGTAGGTTCTCCCCCAGCCCCGGGCAGATCTGCAGGGTCTGAGGGTGCAGAACGCTGGGTCTGGTCTGTGCCCATGTCTGGACAGCCCCCGAGGGTCCCACCTTTGGCTGCTGTGCCCATGGCTGACACCAAGGTTTGCACAGTGCTTGGGTTTGGGATAAGGCAGCGACGTTAGTTCCATCTCTGCTTGCATCAGGTCCCGGAGGAGCAGTGGCTGAGCTGTCCCTTCAACCGGGTCTCAGCGTCCAGGTCTGAGCCAGCTCTCACCTGCTGAATCTGTCACAGGGGCCAGCCTTGAGGAAAGCAGCCCCTCCGTGCCCATTTTTAAGGATTTCTGTCCCCATGTTGTAGTTAAACAAATATTGACTGACACCTGTTAGGCAAAGATTTTGTCAGAGCACTTCCATTCACCTGCTCAAATTCCCGCTGTGTGTAACCAGGGGAAGCCGCGCTCGCTGCTCCCTTTGGAGAACTGGTTTGCTCCTGCTGCATACTTCTGCAAACCTGTTTTGGGCCAGCTCCGGGAGCGAGCATTTTCCTCCAACATCATCTTTCCAGCTACAGCAGAACTGGGCTAGAAAAAGGCAGAAGAGGTAGGCAGCGCTGTCTGTTTTTTATTTTTTTATTTAATGCCTTGGGAACAAAATGCAGCTGGTGCAGTTTTCTGAGCTGTTAATTGGAGGTGAATGAACTTCTGGAAACCTTTGGGCTCCTTCCCGGCTCAGGGGAGTGACTTTATTTAGTGTGCCGCATTTCCTTAAGTGCTATCACTGGGCAAATCGCTGCTGTCACACACTGCTTGGCATAGCTCAGCAGCACTGAAATGCACCCAGATGAAAACCCTTCCTCCTGCAGAGCAAATCCAAGCTGGACCTTTGGTATCCCTCAACGCGTTGTACAATGTTTGGCTTATCAAAGCCAGGAGGAAAACAGAGAGGGGAGAGCTGGCACTGCTGAAATCTCCCATCAGCTAGCCTCCATCACCACCTGCACCTCCCCACGCTGAGACATTTGGGTGTGTGAGCCCCAGCCAGCTCTGAGCCCACCTCCTCCTCCTCTCCTCTGAGGGCTGAAACCAGCCCACCACCTGTCGCTTTAGGGCCTGAAGGCAGCCTTGACTGAGTGGTAAAAGCTGCCCAGGACTCAGAGCAAACCTTTGGGGAGTCTGGAGGCATGGGACAGGTCACCCCACCACGCAGCAGCTCCTCCAGAGGGATCGGAGGTGCCAGAGGCATTCCACCCTTGGAGTGGGGTCAGCTGCTCCTGTTTCAGGCTTTCAATGACCTCCATGAGTTTTCTTGGACTTTTTTTCATACCCAAGACAAGAAAGAGGAGAAGACTTCTTGGTCTGACCTGATGAGATCAAGGTGGCACCAGCCTTTTGTAGCGCAGGGCTAGACAGGCCAGGGCTGACTCGAGCTCCTTGCATCAGATCTGTCTTCACTGAGCTGCTTGCTCTGGAGGATGTCGCTGGTCTGAGGGGACTCCTGGGGTCATGCCCTGTCCCCTGTGGCTGATGTCTGTTGGGATCAGAGGCTGGAGAAAGGCAGGCTAAAAGGGACAGAAAAGTCTCGAGGCATCTGCAGGGGTTGTCCCATGATAAAAACTGTCTGTTTAATGGAAGAGCTCTCTGAAATTCAGCAAACAAAAGGTAAAGCCTTGTGTGGGTGGGGGGGAAGGAAAAGAAAAAAAAAGAAATGGGAACTGGATACATGGATACATGTGTGGGAGAGAAGGGAGGACAATGAGCAGCTCCCTCCAGAGGGTGAA